GCTGAAGCAACTAGCAAGCCCATGTTCTCTCTCTCTCCCTCCCCCTTCATGTCCTAACACTCTGTATCAAAAAGTCCCAGCTGGGGATCTCTTCTGTTCCTCCACTGATTCTGTCCCCCAGGCTTTGGTGGCCTGCTGTCTCATTTACGATCTCTTGCCAGACCCTTTGAGTTTCCATCTTTTTCTTGTCTGTCTGTCCCATCCATTACAGGTGTCCATGGGGAGTAAATCTCAGACTGATCAGAAACACACTGTGCGTTAGGATACTTAGCACTGACTGCCCCATTCCTGCCTTGTCTAGTCCTCACGTCTAGCTAGGTGTGAGAAGGCAACTTCAAAGAACTGAAAAAAAAAATTACCATTGCATGTTTCCATGCACAGAAGCATACTTAGAGGCTGATTTGCTCTAGGGATTTGTGACCAAAGCTCCCTATCAGCTACCGTGAGATGGATTCAAAGATCTTTCCTACTCTAAATCCCCAAAGGTAGGACAGATCAAAGCCATGTCTGACAACCTGCATCAGAGAGAGGAGAACTGGAGCTTTCACTTCCCTTTTCTTTGTCTGTACATCTGCCCCTTGTCTCTGCTGTGTGGCATGCTCAGTGCTGCATCTCCAAGGCAAAGCAACAAGGGGCATTTTTGCAGTAGGCAAGGACACTGCTACAGAGGTACTTTGCATGGCAAATTTGGATGCCTATCTTGTACCTCCAACCACTCTGCCTTTGAAGGCAGCACTTCTGCAAATCCACGTTTGAGCTATACCAAAAAGCAGCAGCTGAGCTGGGATTCTGAGTACAGAGGGTGAGTTCCCAGGAAAGGCGCAGACACTGCTAGCCCTGTGCAACCCTCACCTCCCAGAGCCAGGACAAGTGCTGGAACCATGGTACTTGGATCATGTATGGAGTGCTGCCCCTGTACGCCACATGGACAGCAAGGTAGAAGAGAGCAGCCTATCACCAAACTGGGAGACACCAGAATTTATGGGTATGGAGAGGGAGAATGGACCAGTACAGCTCAGCATTCATCCCTGCCAGCCTTCCTGGTGCTTTCAGTTATCCAGATATCTATTCTGCAGTGTCCACCTTAATCTCTGCCATTGAGATTAAACTGTGGGCACCAGCAATTCAAAATTGTGCAGCCAGCATAGGACCCTGCTAAATGGGCAGAACTGCAATGTGCAGGGCTTCCTGTCCACACTGAGCAAGCACTGTCTACAGACCAAAATTAGCTCAGCTGGACCTGCCCTTCAGCTTCACCCAAATCCACATAGGGCTTTAGGAGCCAAACTGCCATGGATTCAGGTGCCTAAATGGAGTCAGATGCTGAATGCCATGAAGTAGCTCTTCACGGACAGTAGCTGTAAGCTCTTATAAGCTACAGAGTGGTTACAAACCCTATTCTCCCCGTTGAGGAGAGTGTCTGCATATGGCAAAGGGACTGTGCAGCTCCTTTGACAGCCCTGCCTGGCCACAGTGTGCTGCCAGCCTCACCTGTACCAGCTCCTTGGGACTTCTGATACTTACAGTAGCTTCTCTGGAGCACAGCTGCAGCAGGAAGCAGAACAGCTCTGAATGTCAAACCACTGCTTGACCTCACAGTGCTCTCTATGCAATGGACCCATATGTGGATGCAGAGTGGACAGAGCTGCTGCACAACATAAGTTTTGCTGGAATGAAACTGTGTTTGGAGAGATTCTCCTGACCTACTGCAAGTTAACAGAGAGGTACAAGCCCTGGTTAGACATCTGAGACTGATTAGCTGTGTACTGAACACTAACTCCTATCTATCCCGCCACCAACTTCAGTTTTTAGCAAGCTGCTGCTATTTCCTTCAAATGTGTCAATCCCCTGTCGAGCCACACATAACTCCTTGTCCTGGAGACGTAAACAAGGGGATGGGATCCAAACACATGTGATGATTGCAGCAATAAGATGATGTGCAGGCTGGTTTCTGTGAGTATTTCTTTGTCCTAAAAGAAAGCGCAGTACAGCTCCAGCTGCTCAAAAGGTGAATTCCAATCCCCTAACATAAACAGCTCTGTGATCCCTAATGGCTCAGTTGCAACACTGCCTGAAGAGGAAATGGCATCTGTTTTACTTCTCATGGTGCTGGCATATGAATGCTGCAGCGCTGGAGAAAGACCGACCCCTGCGTGGTCAGCACACAAGTGCGTGCGTATCCTGAACTACCTGATTCCCAAAGGACAGTGGTAACTTCTTCTGTCCTGCACAGAGACAAGAGGCTGTTCTGCAGGAGATACTTAGAACATTCATTTTCTTTCTATTTGTGCCTGTGTCGGAGAAGGCTGGTAAGTAGATCTGAAGAAGAAGAGATTAGAGAAGTTACCTAGACAGGAGCTAGAGTGTTTGCCATAGAGGGGGAGTGAAGTGATCAGCCTGCACTAGTTACATGCCAGGTGATACTACAAATGTAGCCAGCACAGCCCTAAGGTTTCCACAATGAATAGGATGTGCTTCAAATAGTCTACACTGTTGTCCCACAGTAGGGACAAAACACCGTGTAAGAGCTACCCTTGTAGAACAAAAGAATAATGGGTACATCTGTCAGACAAATCCAACCCAGACTCAACAGAAGCTTTTAGATAACTGCAGCAGCAGTATTTCATTTAAACTTATTTGAGAGAATGAGGCCACAGACAAAGAACTGGGACATGTTTTGATGTTGAATAGTAATAAATTGCAGCCCTGGCAGTCTATGGACAAAGGAAACATTACTTTTCCCCCATGTTAGGGTATTATTCCAAGCTGCCTCTCAAACATTGCAATAAACACTTTATCTAAACTGAGTTTGCTACAGATGTCCAGGTAGTATTGTACCAGCTGGCTGTGAACTCACCAGCCTGTCCAGAACCAGTGGATAAATACTGTCTGTAGCATCATTCAAGATGCACAGTGGTCACCCAAAAGCCCCACATATATCCAGCCTGCACATTGCATCAGCACAGGCACTGCCAGGCTTGGTCAGATGAAATGTTCTCAAATATGCATTTTCATGTCATAAAACAAAAGTATTCCATAGTATGCCTGATGAGGGAGGTTAAGTCTATAGGACAGCAGTTAGCCTTACTGAAGTCTAAACATAACATTCCCTCATTAGGTATCAGTAACAGGCTATTGGCCATAAGGCGTATTTAGACTCTGGCCTACATATAAAGAGCACATGAGTAATACCCACAAAGTACTGGTTAGCTGAGCCACTCCATGCTACTCCGGCCTACCTTGTTACTGACCTGCTGCTTGGGAAGGGCTCAGCAAATTACAGGTGTATTTGTGAAGGCCATGAGATCTCTTCACTCCGCTGGTACCTGCAGCCTCCAGGTGCCCTGAAACAAACCTAGACAGTGAGAAAAATCAGGGCCCCTTCTCCCACTACCCCTGCAAGCTATCAGCAATAAAAGGCAAGGATGGAGACACTGAGCAAGGAGAGACTCACAGACCTGAGCAGCGACAGTGCAAAGGATCCTATGAAACCTGCTAGTGTTCCCCAAAGGGGATGTGTTCTGAAAGCGCTCTAGAAAGATATTTTTCTTCACCAACAGAGCAAACAAACATACTTTCCTTGGAGCCATTCCCCTGTACACACACACAGAATACAGCACATAGCAAACAAGCACAGACTAGTTCATAAAGCAGAATTTTGTCCAAATGCATGGGTAAAGCTTTCCTAGCTCCATCTGCTCTGATGTGTCTCCCTTGGTACCCATTCATTTCTGGTCACTCCCTTTGTACTACTCACTGCATAATGCCTCCTTTCAAATCACACCGTAGACTCAGAATAGCATCTCACCAAAACTGGGGCTGTTTCCTTCAGAAACCTGCTGAAAATCTGTCTACATTGGAAAGCCTTCCAGCTTGAGCACTCTCATGCTGCTCTGGACTTGGTCAGGTCCCCTTCCTCTGACACCTGCACCTCTGCAATTTTCTGGAAGTGGGGCAATGTTATATGTTTGACACACTGCCTCATATGCCAGTGATACTCTGTAATAACAACAGCCATGCTTGCAAGACATGGGGTTGTCAGCAATAAGAGCAGTTGCTGTGTCGATCATAGCTTAGCACTTGTTAGAAAGACCAGCAAGTATTTCCCCTCCTGACCGTAAATTGGGAGCTCCCTCTGCAGACCTGTCCTGATTCTGCAGTTTCGATACAGGCAAAATGCCTTTTCTGCCACTTGCCCTGTCCCCAAACATGGCAGGGCAGGTCCTGGTGGCCTGCATGGGTCCTGCTGTCACTGCCCAGGGAGAGGGAACAGCTGGAGCACATGAAGCTGTGGTTTTCTTACGCATGAGAAACTGCAGCTTCTCAGTGCTGTGTAAGCAAAAGGGCAAATGAGCCCTGGTGGCCTGGGAACTCAGTAAGGCAGCCCCAAATCCACTGCAGAAGTGGGCAAGGAATACCACATGAGCAAGGCACCCCATGGCCTTGCTGAAATGAGAAGACAGCAAGCCCTGAACGCTAGAGTTGCCAGCAAGTGTTACACTGATTGCAAGAAGTGCACCTAACCAGAGCCAAAGCAGTTTTCTGAAGAAGGTAACTGCAGATCTAGGGCAGTAAACCCAGTGTCCTCTCTAGGACTTTATCTACAGCTTACTAAATACAGCTCAGCATAATAATCACTGCCCTCTGTTCCCACACAGTCCCTACACTATTAACATGTGCATCCCTAATCAAGTCTATCAGAGGCCTCAAGGTGAGAGGCCCTATACAAAAGTCATGCTTGTTTTGAGCACATGATGTTTAAAATGGCAGCCCAAGGAAAACGCAAGAAGGGAGAACAGGCAACAGAAACCAAAACCAACCACACGTTCAGTTTTAGTATGTTTAATAGACTTCATAATCTAGACGCCACAAGCCAATGCCAAACTAAGGGTGCAGGAGGAGTACAAAAAAAACCTTCTGCTGAAAGATGAGAAGTGACAATGAAAAGAAGTATCAGCAAAGGTGATTTCCAGAGGGATGCTGATGGAAAGGCTCAAGACTCAGCACTCTGATGGAAAGGCTTGCTTCAAAGTGAACATTACAAAGATTATGTCTTCACATTGTTGGTGGGTCCCATATTCAAAGAGGCAGGAGAACAAGGGTGACCCATCTGGCCCAACCCCCATGTACTGCAAATCCGAATAAGCACACAGGCCCTTAAAAAGGATGCTTGGTTTTGTCCAGTGTGTTGGATTTAAAGGGCTTTTGTTGAGGTAAATTCCTAAATCTCTTCGACCCTTTGGGTCTGTAGGATGAGCGTAGAGCAACCAACTGTCTTGGCATCTAGCATCAGGGGGAGGTGGGAAGGCAGTAACACTTCCATGACATCCAGAGGGAGGTTCTACTAGCATTTCAACCCGCTGGCCTCCCTCAAAGTCCACCCCGTGATTGTAGCTGACAGCCTGGATTCTGGCTCCCCTACTGCTCCTTGCATTGCAGTAGAGGACCTTCCTGCCACAGGTGTGCACCTCCGCTACCTGGCACTCCACCGCGCTCTCCTCCCCCACGAAGTTCCCCAATGCCCATGTTGTCCCATGGTCAGAGCTGATGAAGCAGAAGGCATGAGGGGTGGGGTGTTGCTTAGGGTCCAAGATACGATAGGCATATGCAGGAATCACGAGGCTCCGGGCCTCGTTGAGCAGTTGTAATCCATGACCCGGCCCCACTGCAAAAGTGGCCCAGTTCTTGTACTCAGTGCTAATGGTACCATCGGTGACATCCTGGGCAGTGCTCCAGGTGCGTCCTTGGTCCATGCTAGTGACATAGCAGAGACGTACCAGGTTGATCTTTGTCCTGAGCTGATGCTGCTCAGAGATCTTTCCTGGGACAGCTATGAAGAACAGGATCAGTTTCCCTGAGACCTCATCATAAACAGGACATGGGTTCATAGATCGGTGGTCTTTCAGCTGTGCACTGACAATGGTCTCCATGCTATTCCACTGCCAGAGACCGTGTGAAGGGAGACAAAAATGAAACACACCATTACAAACAGATCCATATTACAGTGTGAGGGTGCCTGGATAAAAGTTACAGAAGAGCATGAGAAGAACAGAAGAGAGCAAGTTAGTGGATAGAGCAAGAAATGGGAAGACAATATAGTGGCATCGCCAAACATAAGTGAAAATTATTTGGATGACACAATGCACATATACTTCACCAAAAAGGTGGGTTATGTCCTGTTAAATTACTACTCACTGAGGAGCTGATAGCTCTGTATCTCAATGGGGCTAGTGTCTGATGACACTTTAAAACTACAGTAGCTGAATTTTCAGAAATTCTCACAAGTATATATATACATACATATATATGACACACAGACATGCCCAGAGGTCAAAGTATGCTGGTACAGACACTCTGTTGTGTCAGTGTTTCTTAGGAAGTCATCTAGATAACTGAGCCCTTTTCAAGTATCCTAGATGCTGACAAATTCCTTTCCATTCAGACTCCTATTCCTCCATTTTGATCCATATGTGAATGGGCATCCCAGCCTACACTGAGGCACCTTGCTAGAGCTGATTGCATGGCTTTACACACTCTGGTGTGGAAATTTGGACCCTGAGTTGTCCAATGCAGAAAAGAGGTCACAGAGCAGGTATAATTCTCTTCCAAGCCCTGTCTTTCTTTAAATGAATAGCATATAACACAATCACATTTATAACACTAACATTGCAATTAGAAAATTATTCCTACATAGTGTTATTGGCTTCATAAATGAAGCAGTATTTTCCAGTAAGATAATACTAATTAGCTTTTCTACCCTGACTTGCTGATTACCCTTTTTGGTCATGTCTTATCTTTGTCTATTCAACCAGTATTAACTTTTTTGAATATTTAATATTTCCATTTTAAGAAACTCTAGCATGTGAACACAAATTACTAAGTTTATGACCATCTGAGGCCTACTTAACTGAATTACAGGGGGTTACACAAGATGCCACCTGAATGGTATGACACTGCAGGTACGCTCAGAGGCTGCTTCTGCTAGGCAGACTCCAGCTCTTACAAGTCTATAATCTAAGACAACTAGTCACCAATGAAGGACTGGAATACAAAAATATAATTACCCCCCCCCCCCGACATTAATGCATTTGCAAATGCAAAAAATGATTATAAATAGAGTATCCACCACCCCCAGTCACCCAGCAAGATAACTGTTAATAATAACTGGTAGATTAATAAGGTAGCCAATTCACTGGCACAGACAAACCAGATGACACTCTTTTGCGTGGGGAGCCTAGCTGTTCTCTATTGTTTTTTAAACAGAAATTAGCCCCAAGAAGATGAATTTAAAAACATAGTCACTGATTGCTAATTCAGTCCTCCCTGTCCCTGTAGCACTCCCCATTTCTGCCTCTCCTCCACATCTTTGCTGTCACAACAGGACTTTGTCCCATCTCTCTATTTGCTTCCCCAGCTCTGCAATGATGGGTCAAAGCCATCTCCAGAAAATCTGCTGCACCTGCCCACTTTAGTCTCTCTAACAGCTGCCCAATCATGGGGTTGAATCCCAGCAGTTACAATGACACATGCATTACTTACAAGCTGATTTGTCTCCTATAACTGGGGAGAAGCAGCTGCCCTCTCCCTACAGCAAGAGTGCAAACACATTCAACTCATTTGGGGGACAGGGGAACAGTACAGGTGGACAGTCTCCCCTGTTTTCTCCCCACACTGGTACCTGAACATGGTGTGTCGTTGGGTCATACATGCCTCTGCGTACTGCTATTAGCTTGGCATGTTCATCCACCACATCCTCTCGTTCCTCAACAAATGCCAGGATGATGCTGAAACGTGGCAGGTAGAGCAGGGCTGGAATTCGATAGCTCCAGGTACCATTCCGGAACAATGTCTCTTGCTTCAAGACAGGAAACGAAGCCATCATGCTAGGGGGAAGAAGACAAAATGCATTGCATTTTGACTGACCTTAGCCCTGAAAAATGTGACAGAGCAGATTCCACTACATTTTGCCCTCCCTGCTCACTGGGACATTTCCGACATTGAAACATAATTTCTGCTACTTTCAGCTTTGTCTTTTTCTTGTGCATTTCCAAAGAGAACCCACATGTTGCATACTAGCTGGCAACACAGACCAGACTTACCCCAGGAACAGCCTGGTTGATCTTAATGAAGTGACTTAAGGTAAGTACACTAAATACAGTTAATGAAAAAGCTGTCTGTAAGTTGTTTTTTTCTTTTTAATTAAATTCACAGGCTGGGATTTTTGTGGGTTTGCTTTGTAATTCAGAAGATTGTTGAGAATCAGACATTATAGTATTTTCCCTCAGAAGACCATTAATGTCTTTGTTGATGGTGTTTCCAAACCCAGCACAGAATTTCTGCTTTGCCAGATATGAGCTTAAAATCCCATATAAATGACACACTGAGGCAATCCCTAACCCCAGCTGTACCCCTGCTTGAGGATGGTAAGCACTGAGCATGAAAAGAGAAAGAACAAGAACATCCTTCCCCCCATAAGATTAAAGAACAGTCTGAATAGTGTCCCACCACATCAGGTGGGACTTCTAGCCAGGCCAAGATCTTGTCATCTGTACAGTGACTTAAAAGCATTACAAAGGCAAACATGAGGGGGCACTTAGGGAAGCTGCCTCTATGTAACTGGTCTGTGCTACGCTCCTACATAGTCTCTCTTCCTCTCCTCAGACCCACTCAACCCTCTGTCCTTTTGTACCAAGCCTCTCCTGTGAACTCGTTTACCCTGGTAAAAACGCACTGAGCCAGGGGAATTATGTCCGAGCTGGAGCGGGGGGGGG